TCGTCTTTAAGCTAGGCCCTTTATTTATTATCATTGTTAATTCATAATGTTTTCTATTAAATAGAATAGAATCCCTGTTTTTTCTCATTACTAAAAAGATGCTTTCTCTAACGTTAAGATATTTGTATTTTCGTAAACCGTGCGAAAACTTTTCACTATCTCACTGGTTAGCTGATCATAAAAGGCGTAAACTAGTAAACAAATAAATAATGTAAACAGGTGTCATTATTCTCATATTATGCTCGCTACAATATTTCTAAATCCATTCTAAGATGCAATACATCAATCACTGTAACGTGCTTGCTAATGTAACATACGGATCTGAGGAGAAATTATGCATGTGTGTGGCCAAACAGAGTTGAAGAAAAGACACGGCCGCAATGATAATAGCGTCTGTATAAGGTTTTATTAATTAAGAAACACGGACTAATATCATTGAAAGTGTGGTGATGATGAAGGTAACGAGGAAGACTGGCCTGAAGGAAAACTAAGACGGAATATTCTGAGGGTATTATAGAGCAGGCTCGGTGGTAACTTCCTAAGCCCGTGGTTAAACTTGCAGCTGTACAATTGCAGACAAATTGTCTGGAGAATTGAGAGTACTACTTAGAAATCAGAGCAGTTCCTACATATGCCGATTTTCTTTTTGCTCTTTTTTCATTTTCTTAATAAAATATGACAGAAATTCATCCTAATCGAGGAATGGATGAAAAAAACAACAACCGCTCACCGCTCCTGCGACGAAGGCTTGCTCGCCTTAGTCTGGCGAGACAAAAAAAGATGTCCGAGTGCTGTCCACGATGCATACAGCCGAGATGGCCGTCAACAGCAAGCGGAACCGCGACGGCATCGCTTTGGAGAAACCCAAGTGTGTACTCGACTACAACGAGGGGTGAAGGGTGTGGACATTGCAGACCAGCTGGCATCGGCGCACCGTTCAGTCAGGAAATCAATCAAATGGTACAAAAAAGTGTTCTTCTTTTTGCTTGATGTTGCTCTTGTAAATTCTTATCTTGTGTATAAGGAAATTGGTGGCACTGACGGTTATTTGTCATTTAGACAATTGTTAGTGAATGAAATTTTAGAGTTGCACGCATCAAATTTGCCAGTGTATCGATCTAGAGGTTGACCAACCTGTCTTTCTGGTCCAGGTAGACTGATAGGAAGACATTTTGCTGTAGAAATTCCCCCAACTGGAAAACGAGCTACATTATACAAACGGTGTGATGTTTGTTCTAGAAATGGCAAAGGAAAAGAGACTAAATTGATGTGTGAAATTTGTGAAGTTCCACTTTGCGCTGCTCCTTGTTTCAAAGAATATCACACTTGAATCAATTGTTTATTTATGCAAAGTTTCCTTTATTCCAACACATCATAAATGAAATAGTACATGAAATTTTGGGGCAACTCCCTCAAGGTTTATTATACTTGAATCAATTATTCATGTACAATTACCTGTATTCCAAGACATCGTGAATGAAATAGTACATGAAATTTAAGGCCAACTCCCTCAAGGTTTAGTATACTTGAATCAATTACTTAGTCATGTACAATCACCTCTATTCCAAGATATCCTGTAATGCAACCGCTCTCCAGTTTATGTCCTTTTTTCCTTAGTTTTTTACAAGAGTTGTATTTCAAGACATCGTGTAATGCTACAACTCTCCTTTTTCTTTCCTTTTTTGGCCAAGTTATTTACAAGACGAGTATATTTATTTTGGAAGAAAGTTTCCAGCATGACAGAGACAAAGTGTAAATATGATTGTAAATATTAGAAGTGGAAAAAAAGAAATGACAAGTCGACAAGAGAAGAAGCAAAGTGAGAAAATTTGTCTGGTGTTTTTCTTGTGTCTATTTATTTCATAATTGCGGGGAAGATAATTTGGGGAAATAATTTTCATGGAATGGCTCTAAGTTTACTTAGAAGGGGCTGTTTTATATATATCATTACATTCAGAAAGGGTTTTGGAAAAGAACTTGCAAAAAACAAAACTTAAAATACGCAAGATAAAAAATAGGCAAATTTTACGGATAATGTTGACTGGGAATTAGATGAAATAAAAACTTGTGAGGCGCACTCTATGTACAAGTGGGGGCTGGGCATTGTTGCGGGGCATACATGTCCATGGACTACTGGGGAGCGGGCACACGAGCCACTGTGCCCACCTGTAGCAAGCCTAGACCGAGTGAACTTAGCGAGCGCTGCACACTCCGCTGTGGCCAAGCGTCATTGGGTAGTTGTCCAGTGGGCAAGCCAAGTGCTGTGTGCCGGGTATTATATTGGGCGGGATCCAAATACCCCAGCATTAGTCATGGTCATACAGAGCAAAATTGGGTAATTAATATGCAAATTCCAACAATGTGCTTGAAAGTTCAATGTTGCTTTTTAGATGGCAAAAGCACTTCGAATGGAAACTCATCCACAGCAGATAAAGCGTGACACACATGATATTAGTGACGACATAAACTTCAGTGCTACATTGGTATGCATATGCACTTGGATGCATGCCAGTCAGAAGAAAATAATTGTGAGCATTCTGGTAAAAATGTAGCCTGAGCATGCACATGCAAATGTTTCCCTTCTTCAGCCTCATACACAAGGCTACAAATCCACCTCCATACTTCCTCGGCAGAACTCACTGGGAGAACAATGCCATGACTGGGCAAAACTCGCCAACAAAACCACTGATGGATGTGTACAGGACATTTGCAGAGTGAAGAACAATATAAAAGCGCTGAACCTTCAAAGTTTTCAAAAAGAAAACTTGTCAATAAAAGAGGCAGATGCTGTGGTCATTTTCAATACGAGTCACTGCTAGAGCTTGAGGAATATCCTTTCTTTCTCTTCTTGGTCTTTCTTCGAGACTTTTTATGTCGTCTCTTCTCTTTCTTGACTTTGCTGTGAAGGTGAGACCTTTTCTTGTCTTTCTTCCTCCTTCTCCGGCCATGCTCCTCCTCAGACGACGACGATGAGGAAGAGTCCTGGCAAGAGGATGAGATGAGTGACTCACTGTCAGATGAGGACGACAAAGGGGAGCGGGAACGGCTGCGCCTAGCCCGGGAAAAAAAATAAACAAGGAAACAAGGCAAACTTTTGAATTACTTAACAGACATTAGTTTACCTAATGACAAATGGCAATGTAAAGTATGGTTGAAACTTTTCCATTTAGAGAAAAAGATTATCAATGTCAAATGTATTTCCTTCGTTGATTGTAAGTATGTTCACCTTCGACGTCTCTCCTTCAGCTTCTTTCTTTTTTTCCTTTTCTGTCCGCTTTGATTTCTGTCCGTTTCATTCTTAGATTTTGTTCGGGAATCTGTGCATAACAAAGTGGAAAAAAGAGAGGACATTTTGTAAAACCTGATTAAATTGAAAATGACTGTGTTTTTCTTTTCCTTTCAACATTAAAAAGCTGTGAATCTGTAGAATTAATTTTGAGTATGCCAACAATATACGTTCAATGTACTTTTTGACGATGTAAAACCTCAAGTCAATCAAAAGTCCAACCACCAGAAGCAGGACAAAAAACTGTCATAATCAACTTTGAGCAGTTTGTGAACCAGACGTTGTGTGGCTTTAGCTTGTAGGCTTGGGAGCACTTGTGGGCATCAGCGGCATATGGGGAGGGGAGACAGGGGACAAGCTGCCCCTTGACACATGTTACCATTGGTTGCCATTTTTATTGGAAGCGCCAGCATTTCAGTAAAGGTACTGTCATTTTTTTAGGGGGGGGGTTGACGATGCTTTCATGGATTAACGAAATTGGAAAGTCAATTTCAGAAAAGAATGATCTTTCCCTCGAAAGACCTGGATGCATTACAGGTACATATGTGACTTGGACACTTCTCAGAGTTATCTGTAATCCAAAGAATACTCATGCGATGCTTGATGTTGTGACATGACCAATAAATCCTTCCCCAACTTCAACATAGTTTAGAAGAGTCATCAACTGAATTTATAAGAAGTTGGTCCTAGGCTCAGTATGGTCACCATACTGACCCACGGCAGACAGACGTGCATAATATTAACCATCTGTTTTCTGCGGCAATGCTGGCATGTAGGCGTCTGCCTCATCTTCGCTCTGTTCGCTGCTTGTGCTGCTGATGTCCAGGGTTACATCTTTTGCGGGGTCGGCTCGGATGAAGTTCCGGCATTGGTAGGTCAGGTGGCCACTGTAGCCACACTTCCGGCAGGCAACCCTCGAGTTTTCCTTGTTTATGTTCAGCATTGTTGCCGCTCCTGAAAACAACGTGTACATTTTGCTGTGATCGTGTTGCAGTTCTTGTATAAGGCCAGCATGGTGCCTGTACTAGAAAGCGCCCTCAAGGTAAATGTACAAGTAGACCAACACCCTTAAATTTTCCTACAGTACAAAGCAATGCCATGGTGTATCAAGGTAATATCACACAGGAATAGTATAACCTTCTATGACCATACCCCACAGTTAGTTCAAATAACTTGCTTTCTTAATTTTTTTATTCTAGAAAAGCTAAGATAATATCTCCTGCTTGAAATTGAAGATATATTTAATTGAAGGATATTTCATATGTATCTTCTTTTCCTGATTCTTGACTTTTGAGGACTTTGAAGGGAAATATGTGTAAAGTTCAAAACTGCTTTAACCCTAACAGTCCCAAGTCTTCCAATTTCAATACGAATTTACCTACACCCTAGGGGGTTAGGGCTAAGTCTGAATCCTACATGTATGTCACGTACATGTATATATGTCACAGCGATATTGTCCATACCACACAAAGATTTGCCGCAATACAATTTCAAGAATCCAAATGAAAAACGGTATCACTGCCATGTTCAGTTGCCATGCAAGCACACTGGCAAAAGTATGCCAGGACCATGAACTGGTTAAATAAATATTGGATATGACCATCTGATCAGTGACTCCATCCATCAACATGATCACACTGTCGCATTGTGTTATCAGTCAATCTTGTATGAGATCTCATTCTCGGCTTCTACTTCCCTTTCTCAACATGATCTTCCAAACTGCAAAATGACGGAATTATTGTTGTGCCATGCAATAAGATCAACGTCTGGCAGATTGGGCCCACCATGATCCACTCCATAAGTCATGTACTCCTAGAACTATAGGATTTGTTGCAAGGAAAGGACATGGCACATGGCAAGGAAACCAATTGAGTCAACTTGGTCTGAAATCATCTCAGTCCAAGTCAACTCAGTCCCAAGTTAATTTGGTCCCAGTTAATTCCTTTCCAAGCACACCAGGGCAACTCAGTCCCACTTGGTCATGTAAATCAGTCAAAGGCAACTCACATGACTCAGTCCTAAGTCAACTAAGTCCTACGTTAAATGCAGTCCCAAATCAAATCGATCCCAAGTCAACAGGTCAACTTGGCCCGAGGCTTTAAGAAGCCAACTTGGTCCTAGGACAACTTGGTCCCAGCATGTCCAAGGCAACTTGCTCCCAAGTTTACCAAGTTCCGTGATGTCTCAGTCCTCAGATGGAGGATCAAAGAACTTCCTCCATTAGCCTTATCGCAAATACCGCCTGGGTGATTTTGCACAATGGTAAAAAGGCAATGTGGGAAGGAAAAAGGAGCAAACATGACCCCTTCTTCCCACAAACAATGCCTTTATACCACTGTGCAAAATCACCCATGATGTAGTATTTGCAACAAGGCTTAAGGCCGGTTCATACTCGATCCGTATTCACTGTGTACGCAATGCGAAGGTCTGTTTTGAGGTGTCTGCAGTGCATGAACGAAAGCACAGTGTGTAATGAAAATGGGCACCCGTACCCTTGCAAGTTGCACGCAGCTTGTGAAAATAATGGCATGAATGGTGAGTGCATATGCACAAAATGTATGCATATTCCGACTTTTGTCGGATACGCACACGCAACCGAGACTTGAGAAAACATGCAAGTACATGAATATCAAATGCAGTGTTCACATTACACGCTGCGTGTGTGCAAACGCAGCGAGTATAAACCAGTCCTTATCCCCATGTTTTCCTACCTCACCTAAATGACACCATGTCCATGCTCACCATGTTGGACCATGGACCGAGGTGACCTGCACCCAAGTACAAATACAACATTTTCCTTTAATATCATATTGGATACAAGTCTGTTACTGTTAGGTACTAATGCCGTAGAAACTGGTGTTCATACTTACGGGCACTGCTGTTGAGCCTAAATTGTTTGACTTTGAGCCGCGATGCTTCTCAGGTTCACGTACCTTTGGAAGACGTAGGCCTGTCGTACACACGGTTACGGAAGCTGAAGCCGCGCGCTATGCAATGAGAATGTCTTGCAGAAAAAATGGATCAACAGAGGGCGCAATTGATCGACCGTGCAATCCAGTGGCGAATGACGATCCAGTGCAAATATCAAAAATTAACTTGTAGGCCCCCCAAAGCTAGATTACACAACCCTCCATCACATGTAGTTCCCTTAACGAGAGCCAAATGCTCCTAACCCCCAAGAAAAAGAAAAGAAAAATGTTTAAATCTCTACAATTCTTCAAATCTATATGCCGGCAATATCAACCGGGTCGTTGAAGAAAATACCGGCCAATAGACAAGATGAACTGTTTTTCAAACGAAACCCAGTGATAGCTGAGTTCACACCTGCGATTAAATATCTCCACACGCCCTTCGTAAGGTAAAGTCACATCGACCAAAATTGAAGAGATCCAACGACTAGGAAAATGTTTAAAGATAATACTGACAAGCACTAGAACCCGTCAAACTATTAGAGGTGAAAAGAGAAATAATGGAGGGATGCGTAGCACCGTGATCAGAATATTCAAGTTGACAAGAACATAATATGAAATCAGTGCTCTGAAAGTTGTAATTGCCGAGCTTTTGGCAATTACAAGTTAGGTATGACATGTTTGCCAGTGCAAGCAAGTGATTTTTTATTACTTTCAGGAATAACCTTTATGAAGGATCAGAAATCATTAAAGCGCAGTAGCCACTCCGCCCACTTAGATAGACCAGTGATTACCACAGCAACCAGTCTCGTACCCTAAGTCAAAGGGAAGCAAATGCAATGTGTATTGAGAGTGATCAGAACCGAGGGGATAGAGTAAATCTACATATAAAGATGTACTTAACAAAAATTCTGCCCAAATATTCATCATACTTTATCAGACTCGTGAGAAGTCCAAACAACAACGAAGGAACTAGTAATCAGTCTAACGGCGAGACAGTTGCAACATGAGGGGGTTCCCCGAGTCGACAATCCGCCGTCGCAACTAGAGCAGTGCCGTTGAACTCATCCGGCCTAGAAGAGGCAGAGGAGGGATTTTTACCTACCGGTACAACCAGACAACTGTAAATCCTTGAATTTCATCAGGTATGTGATTCACAAGGAGTATGCATTGTGGAGGAAAGCACCTCCTTTGCTCATTATTGTGGGGGCCATATTAAATCATACGGCCCTATAAATCATCCAAGCGCAATAACTAACAGTGACACTCTGCGTAAGGCAGCATAAAACATGCGCAGCACGCGAAGAATAAGACAAACTTTCATGGACTTCCTACCATTAAGCATAGCGTAAAGGGTGAGACAACTGGAGGCAGAGCTATTAACACTCAGGTAATTTAGGGAAACAAAGACCCCTCGTCTTCTGTTTCATGTACTTTGTCCTATGCATATCAGATCGACCGAGGAAGGGAAGAGACCATGCCAGAGCGAAGGTACGGATATTTCAGCTGCCCCAAATGCAATCGCGGCTGGGAGAGCTCATGGGCCTGGTGTTACCAAGGCACCAACAATGTAAGAGGACAGTAGGAGCCATGTACATGTACATGTAATTTTAACTGAAAGTTTCATCTGAAAACAGTGTATCCCTAAATTAAGATGATCGTTCCCATTGCCGAAGAAAAAGGAAGTGTGTCTCTATTTTTCCGGCACAGTTAAGACACAAGCAAAAGAGGGGAATGCCCTCTGCATTGGTGCACAGCGTTCGAGACTGACATTCCATATCCTCAAATCAACAGAGATTCTGTCTTGGCAACTCCTTAAAAATGTTTCATCCGCCATGCTGTGGCAGAGTGTACCCTGCTGCAATCCCTCGACTCACCCCAAAATGCAAAATGTCCACACCGCATCACAGTGTTTGTATCTACACTTATCTGACTTTTTTTCAACTTCACGATTAACACACTCATTCAAATGCCCCCGCCCCCATGAAAATAAATATTATTCAGTACGCAGTACAAATAAGTCATGTAAGCAAAAAAAAATAAGAATAATAAGTTATTGAAAATGGAAACGGTATATGAAGCCAAATAAGATAGTGATTGAAGGCGTATAATTGATGGTCAAAATAACTGAATATGCTATGACAGTCCAGAAGTTTCGAGTCAGGTTGGGAAAGCAGCGATATAAATTAGCATAAACAAAATGCCAGTGGCTAATGAATTGCTTTGTCAGGAGCAGTTTCATGGAACAACACGAACACAAATAGAAAGAGAACAACGGGAAACAAAGCAAAAATCTGGATACTAGAACACTGAAATCAGTGTCGTAGCCGGGGGGGGGCTGGGGATGTACCCCCCAATTCTCGGTACCCCCCCCGTTGCCCCCACTAAAAAAACCCGATGAATGGATATTGAACAAGGCTAACAAAAACTTGCCCACAAAAAGCCACTCCACTGAAAGCTGTTGCCCCCACAAGATGCTGGTGACCCATTTGTGCCCCCACTAGTAAAATCCTAGCTACGCCACTGACTGAAATGTCCGTCATATGAGGGCGCAATAATGAAATCTGGAGTCGGTGTGAAGAGAAAGCCCATCTCGTGAGAGATGCATGCACTGTGAAAGAGAAAACTTTTCTATCCGAGGTTCAAGGGGCAAAGTGACCCTCTGGGGGCATTTAAGCAGCCCCAACACTTCAGAAACGGGGAGGGGAGATTTGGACAATCATTTCAGGGAAAATCCCCGCTCCATCCCGACCCAAAACCTGTTTACACCAATATGGAGGCATGCTATAATGTGGAATGGGAAACCGTATACATGTACATGTATACTCTTTAATTTTAAGGCTAACGGCATTTTCATCACAACTCCCTCGTCATCTTTTCCCGTTTTTCATGTTCTCTGTTTGTCCAGCCGTCGTCGGGTCAGAAATGTCAAAGTTGCGACGTGATGGTCAAGCCGTTCAAGGTGGAGCGTATCCGCTGTGCGATATGCCACTCCAGCACCGGCTGCTCCTGCGACCGGACAAAGCATATCGATTTGTCCAAACCCCACCGGAGCGACCTCTGCGAGCGTTGCATCAACGGACAACGTTGCAACTACAATCGCCGTTAGGTCTTATAATCTACGATCAACTCACCAAGTCGCGATAAACAGAACACTCAATTTTATAAGGTTAATGTCACAAACATTTTAAGGGGAAAGCTAAGTCCTTCGTAAAGTTTTGCTCAGATATCGGGGAGAAAAGTCCTCACGAGAACTCATTAAAACCCTGAGGAAGATTCAGAGGCAGAGCACTTGCCTTCTGAGCGCCAAGTTATTGTAGTTACTATGCAAGGTTTTGTAGTAACCATGCAAACTTTTGTTCTGATACTAATTTTTGGTCAAGGTGCTCGAAATGACCATGCAGTATGCCCGTAAATGTTTGAATTGAAGTGTTTTCACACACCAGCACAGACATACTAAGTAGACTTGTAGCTGTATAGTTATGATGGCGGTATAAGCTTAAGGACCCGTCGTTTCGACATTTATAGACAATTTCATGAAGTTTGACTCTCTAGCCTCTCTAGCTTTAAACAAATGATTTGTTAGGCTCTAGTCATTGCAGTAAGTGTATGCATTTCCAATAGTTCTGTATTGCATGATTATTTATTAACTTAAAAGCCTAGAAACTGGAGCAAAAACCAAACGTACAACCAATAAATTTTAAAAGAACCAACCAACCAACAAACAAAACAATTAAAACAAAGGGATGGGAACCAGCAAGCAGCTGGTACGGCAGCATAATGTCAAAACGGAGGAATTCCTATACTAGAAAAATTATGCAGCGATCTTCATCTATCATCGTCCAGCGAGCGTAATATGCATACAATTGGGTGTCGAACACCCAATCCGCCGGGCTAAAAGTCATCTGTAAACCAGTCAACTCCTCATCAGTGTAGGCAGATCCCTAAGCATGACACATTGCACACCACTCCATGGGAAAGGGGACGCCACCCCAATCCCATAATCTCCGCAGGGAAAAAAAAAATTAAAAGTGGAGGGGGGAGGAAAGAAAGATAATAAAAATCCCTCATTTGCTCGGAAATACCTCGGAGATGACCCTTTGACCTTCGACGCTTTGTCAGTTTGCTGCCGATGTGTGTTTTGTCGACTCTCCTTTTAATTGTTCAAAAAAGAGGATTTGAGGTCTGTACGGCCATAAACTCCCCAACAGAAATGGTCTTAATGATGGAAACTGTAAAGATAATGGCTGACTCGGACAGCAAACAAGTACTTAGAGTGAAAGATAGCCGTTGAAATCTACTTGAACGATACCCTGCCCAAAAAGGTAGACAAAAATAATTTCATTATATACAGAATACTTCCCAGTTTACACATGTATCATCATAAAAGCCAATTATACATGGAGCTTTACTGTTAATTAAATACGATTCTGCCATGGTCTATAAACCTAACTTCAGTTCATCGCCTCTTTAATAACTGAAGTCGTCAGTGTTGTTTGTTCTATGCGGGATTTCCCTCAGCACGCAATGGCAATCTTCGACCTGATGCTGACTGTTAGGGATTCTATTGTATGCTGTTGTGGCTCTGGCCGAATTTTATGGCTGCGGCTGGAAATGACAGGTGCATCTATGGGAACCAGTGGCCAATTCCTTTAGGCGCTCGTGTTACGACCGCTACCAGTTTATCCAGACACGACTGCAGTTGCAGGGAAGGCTGACGAGCGAAGAACGCCATTATCTTCTTCCTCGCGTTTGAACAACGATTCTGCAGATAAGGTAAACTCAGTGCTTGATGGGTGTAGCCACCTGCTCTATACCATGTGGGTAAATGCCTAGTATTTGTGGCAAATATTGCTTAGTTGTTTTTTGTTTTTCCCTGAAGAGAGCAACACATTGTGGTCTACAAGGTCCAGTAGGCCTAACAGTTCAAAATGAGATCACATTGAACAAAATAAATCGTGTATTTAATTTCCTCCACAGTTTTCGTTCACAAATGAAAAAGCTTGATTGTTGGAAAAACAAAGAACAGATTTCTTTCGTTTAATTAATATGTGAATAAGGACTAACACACGACGGTCATGCATCGTAGACAATCACATCTTCTTTGAAACACATTGTTGAATTTGCAGAAAAGCTCGAGAAAGTCAAGAATGTCTCAGCAGCGAAGGTACGGCTACTTCACATGTCCCACATGCGGGCGAGATTGGGAGAGCGCTCACACCTGGTGCTATAAAGGCACAGATGAGGTATTGAACGAACGTTTTGAGTCTGTGAAAATGTGTGACAATAACTTCAGAATTCTGAAATAATTATGACGCATTCAATATACAAATGTCTGAACTTTTTTTTTTTATTTTTAAGCCGTGCTCTGGGCAGCAGTGCCAGAATCCAGGTTGCCCGAAGGATTACATCAAACCTTACAAAGTGGAGCGTCTGAGATGCCCGATTTGTGGTTCCAACACCGACTGCTTCTGTGACCGTGACGACCGCCACAACGACCCGGAGAAACCCCATCGCAGCGACCTTTGCGAGCGGTGCGCCAAGAGGCTTCCCTGCGGTGGCAATCGTTAGTTAAGGTAGCTATGACACAACGTCCTGCAACCCACCGTGGGATATCAGCCCTGATTGGCAGCTTAACCTAACAATAAATGGAATTGTTGTCTGCGATTGTTTAATTTTGAATAGTTTATGGAAAGCAAAGATAATATTTACGGCTCTACACAAATGATAACAAAGTAATGCTAAGTTTCACTGCAATATTAAGCATGGCATTTTCGCACAAAGCTTAAATGCAGTAACTGCGGCTGCTTAAATCGACGCATATTGTAATTAGAATATTCCTTTTTCAACAAAATATTCAAGTGTGTCTCAGTTTATCCACTCTTACTATCCCCGCAATTAACGGACAATAATTCTTGGCTTTGTGACCTTTGTAATGTTTCAAATTTCGAAAATAATGCAATGTTGACTTTTTTACTGCTGAGTAGCCTACTAAGAAATTCCCTATGCAAACGAGATGTGTAAATATCATATATAAACTGCATGTTCAAATCATTCGAGATCAGTAAGTGATAAAATAGTATTACGTTACAAATTGAGTGAAAGTATTACAGTGCAATCCGACGATAAGAAATTATAATGAATCACGTAAAAGAAGCACTGAACCGTACATTAATGAGATCGTATGTACATTCAAGGTACATGTATATTGAGATTATTTAAGAATGTATCTTCATCGCTTCACTGCAATGGATTTAAAGGATATTTTTGGCTGATGCACCGCTTTGGAAAACAACGCGAAAGTATTTACAACATTTACAATGTTTCTCTTAGTATGATAGATCTATGAAATTAAGCTCTCGGTTTAGTACGGTCGTCGAAGTGGATGACATCACTGGTTGTCTTTTCTGCTGCAGATATTTTTTTAACATTACTACTGCATGAAAACAAAGAAGAGTTTAGGAGTCTTGACGTCGAATGTGTGGTTACCTTAAATGTGACTGGCTCTAGAAAAATGGGTAATCATTTGCCAAATTCAGAGGAGTTTTTGACTTGGCTGGATTTTGTACATCAAAAGGTAGAATTTGATATATGAATTACCCCTGCAGCATGCTACGTTCCGGAGATATATAGACATTTGTATATCCACATTTTCAGATTCAATAAATAACACTTTTCGAGAAAAAGCTCATAAAGTGTAGCGCTTGGAAACACAATTCTATATAGGATTTCCTACTGATTGATAATTGTTCAACTTTATTCATCAGCATCCATGTTTGTAGTCACACAAATTCTGAAAATATAAATATTATAAAAGCTATTAAATGAAAAAACATAACATCACGGTTTTGAAAAAATTTTGCCCTCTCCAAATAGAACAGGCCATGACATGTTTTGGAATTGCGCGACTTATTACTCTTTTTTGCAGAGCGGGCCACAAATGATTAATGTGTAGTAAGCCTCTTTACCTAAGAAGCTGATGCATGTCAAAACTCTTCATCACACTAAATGTTGGAACATATCAACGTGCTAACCATAGACATCGGGTTTTTTTCCATACTGTGACCTCCAAGTCCCCAATATCGGACGAATCAAAGGCGTTGAATAGGATAGAGAAGCATTAAGTTGAGCTCTGAAGACAAATGACACTGCGTTCGATGTGGATGCTTCCATATTTATTTGAACAGATAAAATCAGAGAAAACATGTTTTCCTTTGAGTTGCTCTTTAAAGCCCAGCTCTCCTCACGTGAGAGCTGGGCTTTAAGCACGCAACATCCCGGCGATTGTAATGACACATATCCTGTAATGAGAAATAACACTGTTATGATACATTAAATGTTGGACTTGGCTCACTGTGGAGTGTTGTGAAGAATGTACAGAATCGGACTTCTTTTGCTAGGCAGAGGCCAGACTTCTTTTTCGCACTCTCGCTGGACGAAAACACGACTTTCTTCACAAAACGAAGTCTTTGGTAAGTTCCCGAGCAAGCCACAATAAAACTGCAGGGAAAAAAATGGTTTGACCAGATGTAAATGGAAACGAGACATTTGCTGTCTTGGACACAGAAATGTACACAGCTTCTATTTTATCATTTCGTATCCTGTGAGGTGGGCATTTTCTGTTAAAACGCTAATGGGAAGAGTGAGATTGATTGGAAAAGCCTGGGGTAAACAGAGAAATAGCCTACTGTATGCAGGAAGACAAGCTTCCTACAGGGTTTGATGTGTCAATCTCATTGTACTAGCTGATCCAGATATCGACTTACAAGTTATTATAAGCAAACACTAGTAACGTTATTTCTCAGTACCAGAAAAAAATCAAAGGTGTAATATTCTTAAATATAAGATAAAAAATATCCAAACCATATTCTATACTGTAAGACGTACCATCTCCAGAAAATCCAGATGTACACGACCAAATGCCTTTATTTTTTTTACAAAGCTATACCCAACGTCCGGCACTACCAACAACCCATCGGTTATTTTAATGTTTTATGCATAGAACACTGGATTGGAAATCAATCCAACATGAGACCGAATCAAGCAGAAACCGAGCGCATGTTTGGCTTCTTCAGGTGTCCTAAATGCCGTAAGAAGTGGCGGAGCTCCTGGGCTTGGTGTTTTGCTGGAACTAACAAGGTAGGTATTGGTGCTGTTCAGGGCCGTCGGGGGGGGGTGCTAGGCAGGGGACTTCCCCCTCCCTGAAAAAATTTGAAAATTTGAAAAAAGGGGGGAGAAGAGGTTGTTGCTTGCCACTACTGCTATTTATAATTAGATATAATTGATGCTCTTGTCGATTTTGTTGCCTATGCTGCTGTTCCGGTTTTTCGTGTTGTCTGTGTGTTTTAGCATTGTAACAAGGCCTATGTACAAATTTGCAGTTGGTTAAATTCAAACAGGCTTGTTTCATTATGTGCATCGTACACGCAGTGCATTCGGGATTTCTTATTTTATGGTTAAACAGAGTTGAAGGTTAACGGTTTCGTAATCACTTTAAGTAGGTACATGATTTAAACTTTAAATGGATACGAGGGGAAAAGAAACAAGAAGAGCAGCACATTTGGACAGAGACAATAATTTGAAAATCTTCAGAGACAAAATCGACAACCTCGCCCCTTGACGTTTGATACACATACTTTTTAAAAATTTTGTTTGGGGTTACTGTTAATTGCCGTTGGTTTGGTTTCCCTGTGACAGCCATCATCTGGTCAACAATGCAAGAACAGGAAATGTCCGGATGACTTTATCGATCCATACAGGGTTCAGCCTCTCCAATGCCCTAAGTGTCACTCAATTCCACCGTGTAAGTGTAAACCGGACAGGGAGAAGAGGCCACATCGTAGTGACCTGTGTGAACGTTGCCTGAAGCACCAACCCTGCGCTTATCGTGACTACTGAACCATCTATCTTGCCGGAAACTTGCGTTTTGATTCTGTTTTCGAGCTCACCACTTTTTGGCCAAGTTCTGACAAGATTGAAAGTTTGTTTGTAATTTTAAAGAAATAATAATGATTATGATAAACAAATAGGCAAGAAACTGGTGTTACATGGTCCACCGTACTACCCTGCTTTGGATATCTCCAAAGTGAGGACATGTCATATGTTTTGCTGCAAAGGTTGGATTGCTCATTCAGGGAATAACACCATCATGAGCCGCTGTATTAATAATGTGCTATGACTTCGATGACTAATAGCCTTTCACATCGAGGGGAATTCCCCTGCACGCAATAAAGCGAATGCATTATGAATGGTATAAGCCTTCGCGGTTCCTTCTCGCGCCAGTACGGGATCATTTTATATTGCACGAAGACATTTTAGGGGTGTAAATTTGAGTTTGCAGAAAGATATTAGTTCCGCCGATTTACAATGGGATAGGAAGATATGACTGACTTAGGATGAAAGAGACATATATATACATATCCATGTACTCTGGGCCATAGTGTTGCGTCCGGGCTTTTGCAGAGTGAAGGGGGCAGAAACGAAGGTCCGTTTTTTCGTCCAAAAATGTATCCTCATAGTTCCGATCGACCCCTGAGTAAGTGCTAGGTAACGGTAGTATTGTTCCAGAAGTGTTAGTGCGTTCAATTCCCAAAGAAACATGTAGTATTATGTGCACTAATTTTGCCAGGGGGGAGCAATTCTACAAAATTTCAAAGACTTTGCTTCGATAGCGGTTTTCTGTGAAAGCGTTGAACGTCAGAACAACATGAAGTTGAAAGTTAAGCATGAATAACTACTTCCAGATGAATGACGTCACAGGCTGCCATCTGAGAATCTGCCTGCTGCCGTCGTTTGTCCTGGAAAGTTTATTCTGCGCGGTGTTTTACATGTAAAAGAAGGAGTTATGTGTGTCATAAAGTAACTTCCTTTGATGACGTCGAAGTTTTAGAGCTTTTGTTCTTTTAGAAGAAGTGTTTGTGACTAACTTTAGTAAGGGATTGACAATAAAAATATATTTAAATATGAAGGGCGCCCTTCTCATTAGATGGGGTCATTGTCCCTTTGATTTTGTTTTATATACCGCTCCCAGAATTTTCGCATTTTTTGTGACCAGCTCTGCAAAAAGGTGTATTATGTCACTTTTTTTGTAATTTCAGTTATATATATAATCAAATTGTTCACATCCTAAGCTTTCATTTGATATATAGATAATTCATCCCAGTTTTAGTTATTTGCCATTTGCATATTCATATAATTTCATTTTATCATACATGTTTTTGAGATAATGCCCTTTAAACATAACAGACAGAAACATTCAACTTAAATTGGACACTTTCTTGGTTTTCTTGAGCAACAGAGGCTTTCTGGTCAAGCAATTGGGGTCAAAATATTTCCAAATATTTTCACCTTCGGCACATGGATGGGCCTTTATGCACTTTTGCATTGCGCGACTTAATACACCTTTTTGCAGAGAGGGTCCTAAATTTTAGGAAGTATGTTGACACAATTTTGATTCTGTTTTGAGTTCTAATCATTTACTGTTGCACCTCTGGTAACCCCGGAAGTATTGTTTATTTTCAACGTTACAGTTTTAACGTATTTCTTTACTTATATTGCGTGCAATTTGCCATGTGATGACGTCATGTGACGTGTCGTGTAACCAAAAATAAGCACATTCTAGCATCAAGACCACGTTCTTACCATGCAAGGTTTGTGTTAAACTTAATGTAGAGGACCGTGCCTAAAGCAGGGCGACCCCACTCTTACTATTCCATTTATATAATGTATTACGCACGACGACGTGCATAATTATAAGTCAATTTTGTTTTTATATTGAGTTCTGTTACGCTTTTATATTGCGAAGTTTATGAAACTGTTAAAATTCAAAATGTTACGTTTGTTATTTGACCAGCTCGCTTACCAGTTATTGTTTAAGACAGAAGAAACTCGGTCAGAACTACTGTAGATCAAATATACTCGTCTAAGCGTATAACTCAAGCGCAGGAGGCTGACAGAGGGAACGCAACTTTGACTTTACAGAGCATTCATCGCCAAAGTTGGAACAGTTGCGAGCGCTCCCTAATTCAAGGGGCAAAACTATTCTTGTGAGAAATAGCACTGCTTTTGGAATGCCATAATCACACACAAATGGCCAAACAAAGGAAAACAATAACCCCTATTTCCCGTTTACGTATTAGAATGATACCACGCTGATTTCTGCTCTGAAGCTTACAGGCAAGAAACAGGTTTTTTGTACAAATGCAAACAGCGGCAAGATGACAACAACATTTCCGGGAGCCTCCGACAATCTTCAGACTCTGATTTTAATCATAATTAAGAGAGGTTTGTTCTACCCATGGGTCGTTTATATTCCCGGAGAAAACGCCACATACTATGTTTGTAAGCCTTGAATACTAGTAAGATCCTACAAGAGAATTTGCACTTTTTGCATCATTGAAATTGTCACCGAGATTGCCCTTATTGGAGAACTTTAAAAACGAAAAGGGATTGTGCTGCGCACACACCTTGACACCCACACACAAAAACCACTGAATTTACTTGTACTTGAAAACCATGGTCGAAAGCAACATTATCAAAGGGAAAAAATGCATATGACGTCAGCCTGTCACTTATCGTACATATTGACAACTGTTACTGAGACCCAAATAGCTATTGGCAAAGTGGTAATATGTTATAATTATGTGTATCTAAATCAAGTGAATAAGCTAAGGGACTATCTGGACCCCATGAGAGAGCCGGCATTTTGAACTTTTGAACTGAATTGATAATTATGCACGCACGCTCATGGGACTTGACTTCAAAAACGTAAGCAACCATGAAGGCTTGCTCCTTGCCAAATACATGTAGAGGTTTTTCACCTGACGTCACTTGACGGGCACAGGCTGTGCAGGAAGCGTGCCATGTCCGCGGAGGCGCCTGCATTTTTGAATCTGTGTATTTCTATTGGCAATTTCATGTAGCCGGAATGCTGAGACACTCCGAAGGTGCACGCATTTCCGCGCATAATTAAAATAAAGTATAACACATGAGCGTAAACCAGTCCATACTCGCGCTCGCAGGTTTTCTCCGGCTTCCCCCTGCCTCTAAAACTGGGCCTTCTTCCCAACTCCGTGAGGTGATTTAGTTTTTAAATAAAGGTTATGAATAAACGTAAAGTGATTGGCGCAAATAGCCTTAGCAGCTGAAAGCGCCATTGAAACAACAACAGCAGTCCGGCAAACAATATGACAAATAATGACATAAAGTAAAGATTCTCATGAACCATCTCCAGTTGGGGCATGAGCAGATGGAACGAAGTCATCCTCCACAGACTTCGCAACGGTATGTGCAAAAAAGGAACCTATTCCCTAGTGACATGTGCTGTTAATTAAACACTTTCTAATCGAGTACTCGAAATTCCAATCTCAAAGAAGACAACTGAAGAAAACACTTAACGCATCTGATTCTGAAATGTCACTTATACAAATTATTAGGGAAGGATTCTACCATTCAAGTGACACAGAATTACATAAAAGCCGTAAAAAATCAAAATTCAAAATTTTCGTTTAGTTTACAATTTTAGCTGACCGAGTCACCTCTGATTAAGATGTTGCATATGCACTGTGCTTAAGGCAAGTACGGGTTCTGTGTCTGTGACCGTTTGGTCTGCATCGTGTTACCTTTATCACCCAGGGGTATGCGAGTCTGCGAATGTACCGGCGGGGTTTGCGCCCTTAAACTGCTCGGGAGACGGCTCGACGCTAGAGGGAGCCCTTCTGTGACACTGTGGCTGAATTCGGGCGTCTTGTTCTCGTATGTTTACGAACAGGTCGATTTGTTGTTCGTGAGTCGGCCGCTCGAAAGCCGGGAACGTACAACCGGTTATCGGTGCTAGTTATTTGTAGCATGCAAGCAACATGGCGGCGTCCTTGTGCATTCTTCGCGAGTTAATGTTTGGATACTTGAACTTACTTCTTTTCCATTAAAAACCATCTCTGTCATGGAAAAGTATTGTTAATTTTGGAAAATTTTCCGTTGTTTCCAGCTTTGTAAGCCATCTCGATAGTTTTTGCAGCTTTTCAAAAATCAAATCTCACGAGTTTTTCCGTGTGTTTGTGTAAAACCCTGACGAGGAGGTGGGGTGTGAACCTGTTCTGAGAACAGTGTTCTTGGGTCATGCATGTTCCCGCCGTTAGAGCGCGAGAACACGAAACTCGTGTCAAGAACAGGCCGCCCGAACTCGACCTGTGTGGCTAGGCAGGCCGGTACCAGCATGGTTACCCAACCGCACAAAACAGCTTTCGTCTTTCTTTGCCGTTTTGCTCAGTTGTGGCACACAGGGCACAGAGTCTGCCATAAGTGCCAACCCAACCTACAACAACAACAGTCTGGGCACACTCTTTTGAGGACGGCCAGAGAATCCTTGTCGAAACATCGAGTTGACACTGACCCGTTCCCCAACAGTCAGCACGCAACGTTGCCGATAATGAAGCACACATGGGCCGAGGCGCAGGAATGAGCCCCAAGGTGGAGCAAGAGGGGGCGCAATTTTCTTAGCAACTCCTTCTGCCAGAAATACACTTCGCCGTTTGTGAACAAACCAGGGCTATTTGGAAGACTACCACAATCTTTGGTATATTTGTTGAAAACGTTTAATACTTTCAGTGCATCGCATTATAGATTACTGCCTACGAGTTACTGTGGTGCGTGGCAGGAACAAACTTTTGTAGATAATGTTCGTGTCCCATGTTCTCACCGAGGAAACTTTGAATTATAGCCCAACATTTTTCACAGTTCTTGGCGATCTGACTAGGTGGCGTATAAGGCTAACTGGTAATTTAGCACAACTAGAACTGACGGCATTGTATCGAAGAAAAGTTATGATCAAAATACTGACCTCATGCTTTGTAAATAATCTTCCTATTGAAAAATTATTTTTCGGCTGGCTTAGTACTAATTAATCATGAATTGCCTACTGGATTTTATTTTACTTTGTTGTAACAAATGTAGTCCCACGCTAGGAAATGTCATTTTCATGCAGGCTCCTGTTAGTGTTAGCGTGGCAATGGACAACTCCCCATACTAATAAAGTTCATGCACTTTATGCTCTGTCAACTTGATTTTTGTTTTCTTTTTTTGTGGGGGGGAGGTGTCAGAAATTCCCGTCAGTTTCTGTTTACATGATAGGTAATCGTCAATAATTGGTTTGATTTGAACTATTTATCTTCATTATCATACATTACAGTCCTTTCCTGACATGCCTGGAGGATTGTCTTGCAAACTGCGGCATCACATGTAGCATATCTCCCCATGTTTCAGTTATTATGAAAGAAAATCCCTGATCTCAAATTCTAAAAAAAAAAAAACATTTTTCAACGATTTTTTTTCTGTTGAGTTTGGTTCTGCGTGCAATATTGTTCAAAGAAATTCGTTGAGAACACGCAAAAAGCGAAAATAACCAGACGAGCACTGGTCGAACATCTAATACTCGGCCTTCACTGAATTTGGGACTTAAATTCACGCTTTCCTCGACGATCACTAATGAAGCCGACCATCATTTGCAAGAGTTTGTTACTACTAATCACCGCAATAAGCCTCGGGCAGCGGGTCTAGATTTTATTATATAAATATGCATCCGTGAGTTGGATCCTAAAAGTCCAAGCCCCACGTTTCCAAGGCGTGTTTAGACAGAGCTTTTCATTTTGACAAATAAAAACGCCCCAATATCGAATCATGTCATTTAGAGTGTGGTCGTACCTATCAAGGCAGAAATGAACGGTTGTCACGGTCGAATCACAGGCATGTTCACGCCTGAAATGGCAGCCTATCGGTCTGTAAGTATATGTACACTCACTATAGATAGTTTTGACGGTTTGAGAAACGTTTGTGGCCCCTGATTTCCCTCTTCCCAGGGAAAGTCAAACCAATCGGCATCAATTAATCAGTAAAAGCTTGCCATGATCACAGACCTCTAGCAGCTGGTACTCGGTAACACTTCCTTTAACATTGTAAGGAACCAGCATGATGGTCAATAATACGCCTCAAAGAAACAAAAACTGTATGCCCAAAAATCTTTCAAAAACCCGGGGAGCCTGTTACACTCTGTAAGATTTGATGCTGAACAAGTGCATCGGTCACTTGACATAATATCGACGTTTGGAAAAGGTAAAATGAACGCATGGAAGAAAGGCTGTATGTGAACTGTGCATTTAGATAGGCCTCTATAGCGTTTACCGAGGTGTTTGTATTTTTGTAAGAATAGTATATTACGGTTGGATGAACAAGATGCAACCTCGCTGAATCGATAGCCAGAAAAAAGCAGGTGATTGTAAACTTTTCATAAGAGAATTGACCGGAGTCAACGGAGAGTGTCGCATACCAGCTCCGCATCCAGGCTTAGAGTAGCAAACAACCAGTGGGTAAAACATCAGGCTACCAGCGCTGAAGTTTGTACGAGCCGGGCAATAACTCGGTAAGTGCAAAGGTAGGGGAAAGGATTTTCGGTTACGCACCGTGACAATTTATGCAAAAGACACCGATTAAATTTTAAAAAAGTGTTCTTTTAATAAAGGAATAGGTGAATACAAGGAGGACAGGCTAAATCGTCAACTAGGGCCTACTCATCCACAAAAGGCACATATTTACTTTCTATGATTTACACGGTTCGGTTGGGGGCAGAAATAACATGGGACTTGTACGATATAAAGAGCAAAGTTGGCAGGTAATAAAACTTTGTTTTTCTCTGTCTCTGTTCCAGCTGAAGTGCGTGTTTCAGATTTCAGTCACCATGGCAGAGAATAATGAGACATCGGGCAACGTCACCGAGGCGGAGAATGCATATGACGAGACATCAGCCCGGATTTTGCTGGGTTTGAGGTATGCGGTGAGCATCAGTTGCGGCATCGCTGTGCTCGAAAACCTCCTGGTCATTTTGGTGATTGTGGGAACCAGGAAGCTGCGAGTCAAACACTACGGCTTCGTCATGAATCTAGCCTTGGCTGACCTCCTCTTTGCCGCGCTGGCTATCGTGTTCCCGTGGGTGGAGGAGCACGTCATTTTTGCCTTGTTCATGTCTTGCTATGTCGCCTCGGTCTTCACCATTTTTGCCGTGGCTGTCAATAGGCTTTTGGCCCTGTCTCTTATGCCGCCGTCTCGTTACGATTCTCTGGTAACATGGGGTCGCCTTTTCTTGGCATGTATCGGTATTTGGGTTTTGTCTCTGATTCTTAACTTAATTTCGGTAGTGGTCAACGATAATTTAGTTACCTTCTGGATATACGGCTTGATTCGACCGATGGCCGTATTTATTGTCTGGCTCGTCACAGCGATCCTGTATTTCGTTGTGTACCTTAAAATAAGGCGTTTCACCCCTTCCGTTCCCGACACAAAAAACGATCAAGATGCCGGGGAGGTAATTGTTCGCATAAACCAGACTCGCAAGTTGCTCGTACTTTTCATTATAATTCTCTTGGTGTCCTTCGTTTGCTGGATGCCATACAGCATCGTCCGGTTCATTTCCTTCTTTGACCCCAGCCAATTTTTCTCCACCAAGTTTGACGTCGCGTACTGGTTCGCCGGCCTGTTGTACTGCCTCTCGGCCATGATCAACCCGGTGATTTACTGGGGCAAACTGGATGGGTTCCGAGAGTCCCTCGCCGATCTCTTCTGCTTCTGCCGCAGCACCAGGGAGCGCGATTACGCAGATGACAACGGCAAAACTGAACAGGAGCAAACCGTCGTAGATGCGGTTTAGTCAGATTTAACCGAAAAATTGGCTGGGTAAGATGAAGGCGCTTGTTGGCAACCAAAATGCTTGGGTGCTTTATTGAAACAATCAGAATTCAGAACGAGTAAAAATTCGCACTCAGGGTGTTATCCTTTTACAGGGATGTTTCTAACTTACACTGACTACACAAAAAGGAGCAAGTACATCTATGGCGATGTTGATTTCTAAAATGTTTACGTTTGTAAAGAGATAACCTCACAGTATAGAGTTAGACGAAGCAGCAAAGTGTCTTAAACTATAAGTATCATACCTAGTAAGAGATCGGAGCGGAACTATCTACCGAGTTAACTTCATACAGATACATGTATTTTTTAAAAAATCGGTCATTTATTTACTCCCAACAAATCATAATATTCTTGGTTTTGTAATTCTACTAATGTAATAAGAATAACATAAACACCTTAATCGGTACGCTATTGATAATACTTATTGTGTAGAGAATAGACACTGAGTTGATAGTGAATGGTTTAATACAGCCGAGATGATTTACTGCATGTGAATGCATTTGTTGTAAATGAATGTAAAATAAGCTACAATTCCTTGTCATTTTTAGTTTTTTGTTTGACTATAGTTCCTTTCTTTTTTAGATGTTTGTAAAGTTCGCCTGATTGTCTGGTCGGTTGTTGGTACATGTTTAGGATGAATTGTGCTCCATGGTATACTATGTCGAATAATATCAGTATACAATAAACTTTGAAAAATTCAAAAAAATATGTGAAAATGATTCACCGCAAAAGCCCTGGTGTTATCAGATGACCACACCAAAATGTGTTACATTAACACCGCTGGTGTTACATTAACACAACTATAAGTGTTACAGTGCACTGGAGCGTGTTAAACGTTACACCAACAGTGTTGATGTAACGCCATTTTAGCACTTTTAGCACTGGTGAAAAGTGTTGGCATGGTCCTCTGAAAACACGTTGTTTTTTTGTAGTATTTTTTTTCTGGGGCGGAAAGCAGGTATTTCGTAATATATCATAGACTTAAGTATACACAGGACGAAAATGAAGAAAGACAATTTTAGGATGTGCTGTAATAACAAGTTACACAAACGAGACCGCATGTAATAAAACATTCTATTCCTGAAGTAAGCAGCTATAAAAGAAGTATTTTGTCAGTATTTCTTTTTATCTACTGGTGCATGTATTTAAATATTCACACACTGTGACTTTTCTTTCATTTTGATTTGTTCTATACGTGTACGCGGCAGAGTAAATTGAATTGATAAACAGGTTATATTTATCTTGCAAGTTATGAATAGGAGTTTGATTTCTCCATTATTCGCATTAAAAGGACTTTGTTAAAAGTTAAAATTTTCATATTTCGAATTTTAAATAGCCTAGTCTTGCATGTCACTGGAGATATAATTTGGAGAGGTGAAATGCTGTGAAATAGATTACCGGAATGTAACATATTTTATGTATGCAGACATGTCTACTTACAAAGAGTCGGGTTTAGGATAGTTTATTAAAAACACACCCAGACATTGTAAAAAGGTGAATTTTGTCATTTTATCGATTATGTGTGTGATTGCATGATTTCTTCTTTTCCATCAAAGGCAGCCCGTTTTCTTTCTAAAATTGGTAAGTTTTTATTATGAGAGAGACGAATCCGTGTGCACTACGACACGGTGGCCACCACCCAGCCTACCGCGCATGATATCTCCGTATACCAAACACAACAAATTGAAGGCCTTTTTATTTTGACACCCAAGTGTCCCCCATCCCACAAAAGACAAGGTCTAAGATGTCCGGGTGTCTAGACATGCTAATCCCCATAACATACGGGACAATGAACTCAAGGCCCAATTCCAATTCACGAGAGATTTTCGTTTGAAAGGCAAGAGGATTACAATCCCTCCGCCTGCGTAACGGATCTACATAGGGCGAACCTCGTCTCAAACATGAAAGCTGGTCCCTGGGGCAAAAGATAAGAGGGTATACACCGTGACGAATGTGCAGACGTCAGGGGCGTAAATCCTGGGGGTGGGGGTATATATCCCCCTACCATACCTATGAGATCACCCCCCCCCCCATTTTTTGTGGTGAGCAACAAATTTAAAGCGGATTTTGAAGAATAAAATTATTCAGACTTTCCAACGACTAATTTATTCAATATCACTCAAAAAGGGAAAACGATGTTTTAAGAAGCCATAAATACGCCATTCTGATATAAGATTATGCATAAATGTAACAGTATTACAGATGTACATGTACATCTACATCATGAACTTTGCCTCCTAAATACTGTCATATGGTGTTCTTCCCCCCGCTTTTCAAATTTACATGTCCGGGCAAGTCATCCCCCCACATATCTCCATCCCTCACTCCTCTAATTTCCGGCACAAATGTACTCCTCTGCTAGACTTTCTTTGGTGCGTTCCCGTGAAGTTTGGGAAAGACACGGAACTTGATGCCTGGGCTAGCTTATCCGACATAGGCATGCATCCAGGGCAGCACGATATAGGACAAAGGCGGACCCCAATAAACCCAAGGCCATTGTATCTACTGCACCCCCCCCCTCGAATATCTGCAAGGAATTCACATAATTGTGACAACACAAAAGAGCAGGGCCCTAGATCTTCCAAACACTACGCCTGCGGTATTTTTTCCATATTTTCCCCGCTTGCATTTCTTCCATCCCCCATACACCACAGCGAAAAAAGAGACGCACCATTCAGTCCACAGGATGAATACTGGGGATCACCATCGATCGATGCGCTAAAAGCATGACTCGTGGTATAGAGTAATTCGACCACCAGAATTAGAAGCCATTATTGCGGTGGCACAATGCTCTTGGACAGGTCGTACGCGCGCGTTACACGCCTCTTCGACAGTAGGGTGTCGTGATTTGCCAAATGCACGCGAGCGTCAAGTTAAAGAATGTGCGTGTGAGTACGGTGCCACCGCAGATTAGTCTAAAAATGAAGTGCGTGAATACCAACTCCGTGCAACAAACACACCTTATTCATTTGCTTCGTTTGTTTAAATCCTTATTGTAATGAAATCCTTGGCAAATGCCATTCTAGAATATGCACTGCGAAAAAACATCAACACTTATTGTGATGTTTAACGTTTCAAACGCAGAATGCTTCAAAGGTAACAATTATTACACTGTATATAGCACGAATTCTACAAAAGTATACTCACAGTGTGCAAAATAAACGAGAAAAAGGCTTCTGCTCATTGGCTGGAGTTACTTACGTCACATAAAAGTTTTTATGTTAAACGACGTGATGACGTTTCCATCCGAACAGAATTTTTTTTCCGAGAGCAAAATTATAAATAAAAGACCCTATGTAATGAAAAATATAAGCATAAAAAGTACTACACTTTTAACATCCAAATCATTTTGCTACTTAGAAACTAACAAATGTATTTTTAGTTTCGAATTAACCACATCGAGCCACGCAAAATCTTTAACTTTTGTGAAGAGGGTATAATGCATAATTATAATTTGGCTACGATTACAAGAAATCTTTCCAGTTAAAGTTTTGAAGGCGACTTCAGAAACTAACAAGAAGTTCCTTACTAATTGAAATAATTATTCTATTTAATACTTTATTATTCGAGAAATAATACTTTTATCCTGTCCATAAGAAAAGCGCATATGTCTTTATTACTATATACATAACCACATTGAAAAGACTCTACAAGTATCCCTTGCATGTTTAAAGGCTTCTTCCAAAGAGTTGATTTTTTCTTTATCACTCAAACCTGTAACTTGACTGAGTTTCCCCATTCAAAACTAATTCAATATAATCCCCTTTTTAATTACTGTTTAGATCAAAGTGCTTGTGGTTGGCTGCTCAAGTTCAGCCTCATTGTCCAGTTCTTTGACATCTTCCAAACGGGTGTAAAGGTCTTGCCCTAATCGGTCGAGCCTACCCCAGTAATAAATCACCGGGTTGAGAGCGGCTGAGAAGCAGTAGAGCGAACCGCTAAACCAGTACGCGACGTCCAAGTTATGAGCGAAAAAATGACTGGGATCGACAAATGCGGTTACCCTGACCACGCTATATGGCATCCAGAAAATAAACGATGCCACTGGAATGATGACGAATGTGCCGAACAGCCAGCGGGTCTGGGTGATTCGTGTATCGCTCATCGATGTCTCGGGGGTGGTATCGGAAGCTTGAATGCTCTTCCTGATTTTATACAACAAGAGGCCATACAGGACAGTCAAGACCGACCAAGAGATGAACACAGTCAGGGGTCTCAGCAGTCCGTAGACCCATAATGTGACTTCTCCCGAGGACGTGGCGATCGGCAGGAGGTTCAGGAGAAGCGAGAAACACCAGATGAGCAAGCACAGGACGAGCAGGCGACGGCCCGTGAACACCGCGTCGTGGCGGGACGGCGACCCGAGAGTAAAGGCGAGAAAACGGTTGATGGCAATCGCCAAACTCGTCAGAACAGAGACCACGTAACCGGTCATGAAGAAAGAGTAGATGATGTGATATTCGGTCCACGGAAACGCCACAGAAAAGGTGGCGAAGAACAGGTCAGCCACGACCATGTTAAAGACGAGTCTGAAGTACTTCTGTCGCAGTTTAGTAGTCCATACTAATGCCGCTATCAACACCAGATTTGCAAGGACAGCCGAGGCAGAGCACACGGTCACGGCGTACTTCAATTTCAAGATGACGTTTTCACCCATACTGCGGCAGTGTAGTGGAGACCGAGCTAAAAGTAGAAAAAACATTGGTACGGAATAAGAGTCACTCTACGGCAAACGGGAAAGTTATCGCTTTCGCCTACATGGTTGATTCGAAACGAATCAAGTATCAACGTGCTTGGTGCTAAAATGCGCTGTTTTCGACCTCTCCTCCGGGTAGGACCATCGGCATGTGCTAGGGCCTTACCCGTGTTCGATGAATTAGCTTTATGAAAATCGGGGGTACTTTGTGAAGTCATTTCTGAAGAATTCAGTGCTAAGAAGAGGTTTTGTTTCTCTACAAACGATTTCACACTCTTTTTCTCTATCGGTAAAAAATATCAATCCACTGCTGCATTCAGAGAGACATTTTTACGCACTCATAGGTAATATTAAGTTTCTAGTCCTAAAACTTTACGAACAACGCATAAGCAAAGCATAAGGGCTTTGAAATAAAGATGGTTGAATCCCGCAAGCAAGTTCATACAAGGACAAAATGGGACTTACTCATCACTCACAACTTTACTAAATGCATGGACTGGTTGAAAAACTGGTCATACACACTGAAGCCGCTTCCGCATTTGCTCTCTCCCATGTGTAGTGTTATTTTACGAAAGCAGCCAGGAAGTATATTTTTTCAAAAAGTGAAGTATACTTTTTCTTAGTTTCTTTTCACGAAGCACAATTTTTCCACCTTTTTTTTACGAAAAATACTTTTCAAAATTCGTTTGTATACGAGGTATTTATTCTCCAGTTCGGTCTTATGGGATCTATATTTAGAAAGTGTTTCTATTTTTAAAAAGAACTCATTTTTAAGAGACACTTTTTTCAAGTTCATTTTTATGAGATAATTTTTTTTGCAGTTAGTATGAGTAACTCTTTTGTGAGGAAACAAATTTTAACTTCAAAATGTGTATCTTATGATTAACTTGGAAAAACGGTCCCTCGTGAAAACGAACTTTAAAAATGTATCTCATAAAAACGAACTTGGAAGAATATATCTCATAAAAACGAAGTTGGCAAAAATGTATTTCGTGAAAACAAACTTTGAATAAAAAATTTCACCGTTTGAAAATATATATACAGTGTATTATATATTTGATGACACTACAGGGCTTTCATACGATTACGCGATCCCTTTCCCAGAGTTTCATGCGGCAGAAAGAGCAGTAACAGTTTCTCAAGGAATTTTGTGAAAAATTAAGTACTGTGTGTTTATATGCATGGAACGATTAATATGTATTGTGATTAATTTCGAGGCAAAATCTGTTACCAACCGAGGGTGTACGAGCCACTCGTAGAAAACGGCGCCAAGGTCGCTAAAAACAACAGAAAGGTCTATAGAGGTCAATAGTAAACACTCAGCCGCGATGAATCATCTGATCTCCGAAGTCTGTGCTATTATAAACTATTGTACACTACCTGCTTTTTACAATCACCTGCTTGCCCAGAAGGGTCTCAGGCTATCACATACCAATCTAGAAGGCAACTCGTCGTCATGCAGTACCACGACAGATCGAGCTACGGAAAGCCGGAAATTGTGCAGGTATAAAAGGCCCCATACATGTACTTCGGGTGCGACCATGCAGGGTGCGGTGTGGGTGGACGTAGAGGTACCGTCAATTTTTGCTCCCGGTATAGGACAGGCAGGAAGGAATACTGTCCACAATAACAACAAACTCAGCACAACACAAAAATTCTTCAGCCATCCAAGAGTTTTGCCACTGCGTGTCAACAATCGAGTCGTTCTGTTTTGGGCCCGAGAAAACGCTCTCGCTTGTACAGATTGATGCTTTTCAACAACGTCGCCATTCACGAATGAAAGCAATTCAGCCTTGCGTACACATTCCCTTTCACCACATGTAGACTCTGTTCAAGTCTGATCCTGCGCTATTTATTCCGTAAAAGGTTGTTGGTCTGTTGGTACATGTGCATGTACATTCATGGAGGCATATTTTCCTACTCCATAGTACTTCAGGCAGTCCATACCATGTGCCCTAATTCTAAAGAACCAGAATAACGTGCTTCGCTGTGTGCCAGTTATGTGCTACGGAAGCTTATTGCTGCCAAAGCGAACAAAATTATTTAATCTCGTTCACACGACATCGCCATCTCGTTAATTCTAATTATAACAATGTTGTTAAAACAGGACAAGTTGTTTAAACGAGATGACAAGTCGTTTAAAAGAGATAAAATATTTTTTGCGTTGGCAATAATACTCTTTTGTAATGCGCCAACACTCATAATCAGAAAAGTTTCACGTCTTTATGATATACAAAATGAATGAAAAAGCATGCATGAATCCCAGTTTTTGTCACATCATCACGTGATTTCAACTTCAATCACAGACCTTTTCTTCGCTCACAAGCACTGACGACTGGTTTGCACGGGCGGCCAATTTTGTTTACAGCAGGCATGTATGGTCGGGGACCATACTTGATCAAGGGCCAAAATATTAAGGAATTTGTTTTCATGTGTGAGGTCATGCTTCAAGAGCCAGTTCACTATGGCGAACCTAAAAGATTTGAGAAATAGAAATAGCCAGCATGCCTCTTTTCAAGATGGAGAAATAGCTTTTTTATCTATTAAATGACAGCTTTTCTGAGGTAAAGATTGGATCAAGGAAGACAGTGCTTTTAATGGAAATTCATATCTTAACTTTTTTCCAGCCAATAAAACTCAATAACAAAACATTCCACTTAATAGGTAAAAGCTATTTCAATGCCCAAATTCAGCAAAAAAAAAATCAAACATCGCTTATTATTATTCCTGAACAACTACGTTAACCTGCTTTTCCTGTTTGTTTGGCTGCATATTATAAACACATGTGTTTCACAACTGAAGTTCTCTGAAAAAAACAAAAAAAACAAAAAATGCAACAAACAAAAGAAGATGCTACAAACTAGCAGGCCATGCAAAGTGCTCGCAAAATAATCGGTTCAATGTTTCTGATTGTAGAAACGCTTATTACAAATCAACAACAGGTAGAATTTATCATTAGTATTAGTATTTGGACTGACAGATTACCACGACAATGAACTTATTCACATCCTCGGAACATTCTGTTTCCGGGTGTCTCCATACCCTGCAGTGTTTGGCTTGCCTACAAAGAGAACAGGAACTGTGTATGTGCACTGCACGCACTTATTGTGGTTCTTTGGATTATCAAGAGCATTCCATGCTAAGCATACGTTTTCGTTCTCACAAGAGAACCATTTGTTTGAGGTGGTCCTCAGAGTCAAATTAAGGTATCATTTTACAGGGATTAAGAAATGAAAATGAAAAGTCCGGACATACTTCAAGAACAAAGACCCCCCCCCTTTTCCCCAACAAAATGGTTGACAAAATACCAGCTTGCAGCAGGCACATACCACAACATGACTAGGAGGGTGTCTCAAAAAAAGTAAAATTGTTGAAAAAATCCTGGGAAATTTAGAATTTGCAAAAACTTCTTGTGGCTTTCAGATGCAGAAAGTCTATATATCTGTGACTGGGAATAAATAATATTATGCGCTTGACTGGTCTTAAACCTAAATGATTCCATCATTACTGTTTACGTCCATCAACATTCTGTTTAATACGGCTTGTGATCTATAGACTGTATAACAGAACCACCTTACATGTAGGTACATGTTTCACAATGTCCTGCTTAACACGTGGCTGTTAATTAAGTACTGTTTAAAAATGTAATTTAAGTCCAATAAACTGCACAGTAGTTGCCAAATTCTGCAGAGAGAGCTTCATAGTCACTGTTTCCTGAATTTGCCTGACATGATTTTCTGCTGTAGTTTGCAGCTTCTTGAATCAGTGGCTTCTCTCGGTGCAGTTGGGATCCGTCATTCCCTACACTGCTTCTGCAAAGCCGACGCGGTTGTTTCCAAAGTCAAATTCGGCATAGTAACGACCAAGGAACACGTCCCCTAGAATCCACAGGGGGCCAAAGGGGGGTGGGATGTCCATTGGGGTGAAGGCACTCAGACAAATGGTGGTTCCTGACACATTTTGCTGCAAGGGAGGAAACAGTAAAAAAAAAAAAATCCACAAGTCTTAAATAGGTACCTAGTAAGAAAGTTCTCAAATAGATTCAAGGCTTGGAAGATGTACTAAAAGCCGTGAACATTTAGAGAAAGTTTCACAGACGGTGTAAATGTTGAAGTATAAGTGTCTGGCAAACACATCTGTCACTTGTACACTGAGTTATAGATCAAAGCTTGATGGTACATTGAAATGATCCAATGTAGGAAACTGTGTATGATAACAGAACAGATAGAGCTAGTCACTGACAAACATATGTAAACTTCCTGACAAGATGTGGTTGAGCATAAAGGCAACATCACTGCATCCAAAAATAAAATATAACTGCACAGCAGTTGGTGTCGGCACATGGTCAATTTTTTTTAGACCTTGGCTTTGGGAGTTTCTGAACATTTTCGAACATTGAAAAGAAATGCGTTACTTTCTGGAATGGTTAATCGTGAATTGTCATGCCCACAATTTTGCCTTATATGCTGCAAGAAAATCCACGTTTTGGTAACTAAAACTGTGCAACTGCCAAAAGTTAAAACATTAGGAAAATGTTTTTCAAATTTGAAAGAATTGAGAGGTGGAGGTGTCTCAACCGCTAGACTGCCCAACCAACAGCAGCTATCCCGTTATATAATGACAACATCTATAAAAGCTCAAAATCTATTTGGTGTGTAACACACCCATACATGTATTGTGCAAATATTGATGCGTCTGAACTGTACGAAACTGATAGGCATCCTATCTTGGCTTCAATTATTTCAAACAGTGTAGTTGTTAACTTTATGGTACACCATCGGATTTCCCCAAAACCTTTAGCCAACGAAGCTGAGATGTAACTTTATGGTACACCCTAAACCTTTCCCCTGAACCTGTGACCAGTGTAGCTGAGATGCAACTTTATGGTACACCCTAAACCTTTCTACCGAACCTGTGACCAGTGTAGCTGAGATGTAACTTTATGGTACACCCTAAACCTTTCCCCTGAACCTGTGGCCAGTGTTGCTGAGATGCAACTTTATGGTACACCCTAAACCTTTCCCCCGAACCTGTGGCCAGTGTTGCTGAGATGCAACTTTATGGTACACCCTAAACCTTTCCCCCGAACCTGTGGCCAGTGTAGCTGAGATTTCTGTTGAAGCTATGCATTTAAAGCATGGCTTTTTGTGACAATATGCATCTAGACATTGCTCAGAGACTTTTGTGAACAGGAAGTCAACAGGTGAATACATCATCCACCCATCTTGAAGCACCATTTCACTGGCAAAGAAGAAAGAGGTTGGCAGCCAGGAGTTGTTTCACCTGGGCACCTGGTATAGACATGGTGACCGTACATGGGTTGGGTGTGGTTTATTTACGCAAAGAAACAGGGTTTGTATAAATACTGAGAAGCCCTGGAACACTGCCAGAAACAGCAACCTTAAAAGTAACAATAAGGATAAACGCCACACAAAGGAACAAATTCTAATGACTGGAAGAAGATCACATGGGCCCTTGAATCCTAAAAAGTTGAGGAGGGGAGAAATGTTTTTCGCTGCATTCACGACAGCAGATCCTCCAAACTTGATAGCACCAGGAAGTTCCCATCTGTAGCAGAGTGTGGCATCATTTCCTAGCATTTCCCAAAGCAACAATGCTAAACTACCCTTCCACCTGCACACCAAACCCACTACAAGATGCAACATGGGCGGGCGTTTTTACATAGCAATGGTGGTTCTGAGACGGGAGCTCATTACCTGTATGCACAGTTTCATCAAGTTTAACACGGACCAAGCGTGACCAATCCCTGCTTGAACGTACTGGTCTTCCCGTGTGTACTGGGCGGGCACACGAGCCCGACTGAAAAAAGACCCAACAGCCTCTCTCTTCTTTGCTGTTCAGGGTGTAGAGTAAACTCCGGCTAAGTCGGCACTCTCGGGACTCAAGAAATTATGACGACTTGCGCGAATGCCGACTTGTGCTGTAAGTCATCATTTTGCTGACTTACACGTACATGTGTATTGCCTATGTACATTATGATTCCTTGCACTAATTCAATGGCTTTGATTTACCCTGGTTTATTTCTACCTCTGTGGTCGATCCTCTTTGGTGGAAAAGGGACCAAGAAAAACATGCTAACTAATACGAAATGACGACTTATAAATGCCGACTTACAAATGAAATTTTCAATGGAAATGCATTACAGACGATTGGGACTTTTGTCAAAAGGCCGACTTAGTCGATACGACGAATTACGCAATGCCAACTTAGTCGGAGTTTACTGCACTTCAAATCATGGTAGATACAGCAGGGAAGATGATTCTGTATTTTGACTGTCTTTCATTTTTTGGATAGTCTGTGACACCTTCTGTGAAGAACCAGCGCTGTGGTTTAGTCTATCACAAGTCCAGTTACAAGTCCCCCCACGAGACCAGTCAGCAAGTAACGGGGCGAACGGTGACAACAAAATGATTGTTGTCACAACTCATTCAAACAGCTTGTGACCTGACTTAGGACAGAATGACTTGTGATGGAGTTGACTTTAATAACAGTCTGGATGGCTGAGAATTTACCTTCACCACATACTCCTTCCAGGAGAGGGGTAGCTTGGTCTGGGAAATGGTATAGACCACATCAGGGAGCTTGGAGACTGTGGCACAGTCAAACACATACTGTGAAAAGAAAAGAACAATTGGCAACATTTGATCTGTGAGTTTTTCTGGCTCGCCAAAGCTCCACTCAGTGTGAGAAATGCTTCATACGGCAGTGTTATCTTGGGAAGAAATTCAGGGAGAGAAATTTCACATTCTGCAGGAAGAGAAACAAATGAATATAGAACTTCAATTTCTATATTTTAAGAACTACAGAGGATAACAAACAGCAGAACATGACAGATAATTCCATTTAAGCCACCAACTTCGAATCCGTAAGCCCAAGCAATTTCTGTATATTTGTAACAAGTGACAACACCCAACACGTCAAGATGCCGGAGGAGACTGTGTGTGTGACACTAATTGACCAAAAACACGGCACAAAATGGCATCTAAAACTCAGGATATTTTCATATGGAATGCCTTGTAAAATGGTTCTACTATTGAAAAATGGTACATCAGTCTGATGCATTTCATTGAAAGTCAGGTATTTTATTAACAGGGTTTCATTTCTTAGTCAATGGAAGAACATGGGGAAAGTACTCTAAGGGGACACGTGGCCAAGTTGTTAGGGTTTGTGGCCTCCATTCATAGGGTTGGAGGTTCGAATCCAGCTGCTGGCAGTATGTTGTGGCCCTTGGCAAGCCAATTCACCCCTGCTTGCCTCTCTCCACCCAGGATTATTAAATAGGTACCAGCATTAGCTAGGAAAGCAACCTCCGATGGACTTGCATCCCATCCAGGAGGAATAAAAGTATTCTCAGTCGTTTTGCACCAAGGAAACTGGAGATAACACCGGCCCGATGAGCCAAATTGGACCAGTGCAGTCCTGTTGGTGGCACACAAGCTAGAGGGATACTGCTGTACGACTCGCATGCCTACTTTGACCACTTGACACGGTCAAGTTGAACATACTCCAACTCTGATGACATGCATGTTTGTGTCAGTTGATAATGTGTTTTCAATGTGTTTGTACATCATCAGGGACTGCTCGGTAATGCCGCCTGCATCTCTTTACATTGGTACGGAAACTAGGCTTCACTTGAAAACCAACAGGACCGCACTGGGCAAAAAACGACCACCTACAGCCAAAGCACATAGTTACCGCCTTTTCCCAAAAAGTGTGCTCAATTCGAGTGAGGTTGTTACATCCTTAATTTGCATTGTAACTGCCGCGATCCATTTGCAGGTGCAAGCCAAAACTTGAAGGCATCATTGGCACTTACCGCGCCGACGTCTGGAAGGAATTCAGCCCCCAGGGCGTTGTTGAGGGCAGTACAGTCATCAGTTGGACACGTGACCAGTGACGTACCCGTATCAGCAATGGCCTCGCACCCAGCTTTGCACACAGACTGGCCACTGACTGTAACCCTGTGTATTGGCATGCCAAAACGTTTTTATCAAGACACGTCCTTTGGGAATTTAAAGAACTCATCGGGACGCCAACTAGCCAACATTAAACCTTGTTTGGTTTTCCAAGCAAAGGCCATTCATAAAATGATACAGACTCTACTTTACCTTATCACATTGTAAAGCACAGAACTCCATCTCTTAGTCATTCCTTCCCAGAACAAATTACAACTTTAAAATATCAACCTTGAAGGGGAGAACAGTAATCTTTTTATACAAACACTCCTTGTATTTATAAAAGTCTGTTTTGTTCCATCAAGATTCAGAAGTGCACCCTCATTCACTTTCTTTCTGAAAAACATTTATGTCTTTGACTTTCACATTCATTCACATCTAAAATTCAAAGCAGCGCTCACAGTGCCACGAATCTTCTGGGGTGGAAAAAAAAAACAAAATAAGCACATGTCCTGTATTGAAAGAGTCATGAATTGTTTTGCAAAATTCTTTCAGTTAGTCAGGCAGGCACATCGAGACTTACTCCATATAAAATCACTGTGATGTGAGCTTTTCCAACTTTGCGAATTCTTGCTGGATGCGAGATTGAGAAATGGCAGTAGAATGTCGTCTGGCCGGGCACCACCCCCTAAGTACTTGTACCTCACACACACGCACACCCACGTCGACATTCTCTCAAAGGGTATCTGGCACTGGCTATGATAAACGGCTTACCCATCCACAGCAAACTGCCAATAGCCTTGCATGGTGACGCTTGCGTAGGTGAAGCTCCCGCGGTAGTAACGAGGGTCAGACCCTCCCAGAATGAGCTCTCCGCCTTTGCTGTCATTGGTGTTTCTATATGTCAGAGAAGAGTCAACTCGTCAGTTATGTCCCTCCTTTGCACAGCGGGACTGAGTTACATGCATGTGAAAAGTATCTATGATTCAATCAATCACAGTCAACTGAGAAGCAAAACTCAAATTATGAACATCTGTAAAAGCTTAACAAGAAAATGTAACAGATTGAAAACTTACACTATGACATTCACTTGTGGTGAGATCAGTGTCGAGTTAAGTGTACAGTTTATGGACCATGTTTTCTTTCATAATTCATATGTCAAATTCCAGATTCATCATTGCAAATTTGTCTTAATTCGTTTAAGTCTACTCGCTTTTAGGCCTTCTCAGAACTGAAGGCCTACATCTTCCTACCTGTTCAGATCCCCCTGGTCTAACACAGACCTTTTCAAATTTGACATACACACGAGGACATGTATCATACATACTCATAACTGTGAAACTTCAATGTCACAACAAAAGTGACAAGATTTCTATTTTTTTGTAGTTTCCATGGTCACAAATATCAGTCCTCACATTGCGCTTCTGATGAGACAAGCTACAACTTTTGCCTGTGTTCACAAATTCCTTGACACTTTACTAGAATGATTGAATTTCAGGAATCTAGCACAGCAATGTCCACAAGACAGTTTGCAGAACAGTTTTTGAAAGTTTCATCACCTGTCCAGATAAAAGGAAAACACAGGCTTGTCCACCAATCCCTGCAGCACCATGGAGTTGAAGACAGGCAGGACCCCGTCGGCAGCTATGGTGGGATACCCCATTCCCAGGATGCCATCAAAGTCCACATCTAGAAAAACGTCGCCCGGCTCCGAGGTTGCTTCACCGAAAGTCTGGTTCACTACCTTGACAGTCTGCACCTGTCGGTGGGGAAACAACATGAACAGTGCCATGTACATTTTACAAACCGTGCTACTGTACTTCTGGAATTTGGAGAATACTCGTAATCAGCACACTTGATGCATATTCATTATTGAGAGCTGAATTTCATTGGTCCATTTCTCATCGTGTGCCAGTTGCTATTTTGACGTTACATTGTAACCAGGCCTGCAAGCAAGGATAAGCACACAAGTCAAATACACTCAAATACTGAACTATTCTCCAAGAACAGTTCAGTGAATTGCTGTGCGGGTGAAGTGTGCATGCGTAAGCATCGCCCAAGCTCCGCTTCATGCTCACTGCACATGACCAGATGATGGCATATGCACATGCTGCCTTTCCCTTACTCCCGACATTGTAATGTCATTCTTGTATTTGACCAGACATCTTCTGTACATCACAACCGTTTCACGTCAGCAATTTGACAGCAAAAATTGGCTATGGGGGAGTGGCTATTTCGAAGGCCTTACGGATGCTAGCATGTTTCAGTTCCCAGCGTGGATACTCCCCACATGATGAAGAGTGTAAAATGCATGCGATTGGAGGTACATTCAATCTTATGCCTTACGTCCACGATGTCTTTACTCAGGAAGCCCTTCATGCTGCCAGTGCCATAGCGAATTTCCAGATCGGTACCATTGGGATGGTACGTGCTGGATTTGGAATGGTCATACCGGTGGTGCCTCTCTAAAAACAGACAAAGGAAAGTGTACCCAGGTGAGTAAACTGAGGAGGTACAGATGGAAGTGATCTACATTTAAATATGGGAAGTTTTCTCAATGCGCATCTTGAAAACTCAAGTGCCTTGAGCAGCAGCACCCCCTCATTGGCTGAAAAGAGCCATGTTGGTGGGGAAGTGTTCATTTTGTTAATAGCGACGAAACCATAACGCGAACATTTCATAGTTGTTTGTCAACCGGCGAATGCAGTTCCCATCGCAGGAGCCTCCACTGTCAGGATGACTGCACCCTCTCCAGGAATGCAGGGTGGGGCCAATGAGTATAAATATTGTACCGATGACTCTCGAGAGTCAGCATTTATAACATTTGGCTTTATTTTCAAATTTGGTGGAATTTTGAAATTTATTTGTCCTTTTTTTTAAAGAGCCATCTGCACATTGTTATGTGAGTGAAGAAGTAATCAATAACTTGTTTGGCCAGACTAAGTCAGAACTAAGGACCACACTGAAACAACGGGACTGTACTGAAAGTCTCACTCTTGTAAAAACAGATACATCCAACAGGAGGGAAAAATCTCAGGGTGGGATCTGGTTGCAGAGTCTGAATAAAAAGGTAGGACTTCAGGAGGCAAGGCCAATTTTCATGGGTGTTTGGATTAAGCACATCCAAGCAAGTTTTTTCCTTATTAAAAAGAACAAAAACCGATGCACCATTAACTATGGATGAATATTAACCACTACCTGCCGGGGACTCCGAAATCGGAGCCGTATGATTTATATGTGTGGCCGGGGTCTCCGAACTCGGACAAAGGAAACAGGGCCCTGTAA